GGAGGCATGCGGATGGGAGCCACGTCTCATCAACAAAGCCGGCCCACACTTCTTCACAGACAAACACGCACACTATATTTGGGAATCAATGGCGCACAGAGCGGTAGCTTGACTGTAGTCCGCTCCACACACAAACTGTGTGCATAAAACCACACTTTGAGCTTAGCACGGTCACAAGGGCCGTGCACCCCGTCCTCTCCAGCAACAACTAACTGTCTCCTAGAGCCTGTATGCACGAGCTAATGGCTAATGAACAGGTAGGCACGTTGTCAACATGCACATCAAGCGCAGCCACATCGAGGATATCAACCAACAGCCAACCAGCTGAGATAACAGTATCAAGTAAAATAAATTGATTAATGACTCAAAGTTCGCACATTGCTTCAGATCGGTCGACAGGCGGGACTTGCCCGAACATTAGAGACCCATTCCATCGATATCTGCTGCTTATCGGAGACCCGCCTGCGAGACTCGAGCTCTGTGCTTACTCTGCTATCCCCTTCAGGTGACACTAGCAACACTTTCTTATTGTGCTTATCCGGGGACGATGCAGCTTCGAGCGCCGGCCAAGCCGGTGTTGGTATTGCCCTGTGTCCCCGGACTGAAGCTACTCTGCTTGATTGGATTCAAATCAGTAGCCGGGTGTGTGCGGTCCGATTGGCTGGCTCGTTTAAAGCTTCGAAGTCGCGTGTGACTGACAGGTGTCTATTCGTTATCACTGCTTATGCACCGACAAACTCTAGCGATGACTCGGTAACAGATGGCTTCTATCGTCAACGGACCCAGCTCCTTCGCCACAGAAGAAGCACGGACACTAGTGCTGGCTGGGGATCTGAACGCTCAAGTTGGAAAATTATCCACTGATGAGCTGCATCTAGGCGGTCAGCACGGTGTGGGCTCCCGTAATGATAACGGTGAGCGGTTACTTCATTTGTGTGAAGATGCTCGCTTATTTCTTGCGAGCACTAACTTCCGACACAGCACCCGCCGGAGGGTGACTTGGCGCCCACTAGCCTCGAACCAGCTATGGGCGCAAATCGATCACATTGCGATAAGTTACCGCTGGAGAGGCTGTATCTAGAACTGTCGCTCGATTTGGAGCACCTGTGTAAACACCGATCATTCACTTGTATGTGCTGACCTGTGGATGAGCTTTGGCGGACGTCCACGACGACACCGTGAGCGCATTGACACCAGCCAACTAACAAAGCCAGCTGTTCTGAATGCTTATCAAAGTACGCTGTCATGCGAGTTGGATAAACGCTCACTGGATGCAATTGAAGTTCACTGGTCTCATATTCACCAGACCTTACTAGTAGCAGGAAAATCCTCATATGGTGTGTCTAATCGCCAACATGGACATTGGGTCTCTTCACAGGCTCTGGAACTTATCCATGCTCGCCGACATATTCCGGCTGGAAACGAACACAATGAAACTCGCACAGAGCTTCGGGCAAAACTCCGTGCCAGCCTGAAGAGACCGCGAATCCTGGTGGTCTCATCGTGCATCAGAGATGGAAATGGTCGCTTCCCTTGGTAACCATCGTAAGTCATTCCGGCTGATACGGGAAACAGGCAGCAGTAGACTTGGTGTTAGTGAGACTATACGTGACGAGAGTGACCAGCCTATCTACAACGTGTCAAAACGCTTGGAGCGTTGGGCTGAGCACTTTGAATGGCAATTTAATCGGTCGGAATTGTTAGATTTCTCGCCGGTCAGTGATCGCCCTGTTCCGTGGGCTGTGCCTTTCGATCCACCCTCTCGCTCAGAAGTCAAACGTGAGATCGGACTGTTGAAGTTAAATAAAGCCGCGGAACCAGATGATCTTCCTCCAGCCCTCGGAGGACCTGCTCTTGTGGATGGTTTACACGAGTTACTAGTCAAACTGTGGGAGCAGGAAATTGTCCCAACCGACTGGAGCCGCTCCGTCATAGTTCCAATTTTCAAAGGAGGCTCACGATCGGAATGCGGCAGCCATAGAGGAATCAGTCTGATCTCCATCGCCTCCAAATTGCTTGCCTCTGTCATCCTTCACAGACTGACTGGCACTCGTGAAAGCCAGATTCCTGAGGAGCAAGCCGGATTTCGTCGAGGTCGTGGCTGCATTGACCACATCTTCACTTTGTGTCAGTTGTTGGAGCACCGTCACATATATTGCAGGCCCACCATTGTCGTGTTCCTCGATATCAAAGGTGCATTCGATTCGGTGGATAGACGTGTACTTTGGGACTATCTACTCAGGAAAGGTGTGCCCGAGAAATATGTAAATATTATCCGAGCATTATATGCGCGTAGCTCGGGCAGAGTGAGGGCTTACGGCAAGCTGTCGTCGTTCTTTAATATCTCCAGTGGTGTGAGACAAGGATGCCCGCTGTCACCTCTCCTCTTCAACTTCGCTATTGATGGAGTCATGGAAATCGCGTTCACAGGACAGGACTTATAATGTGTGGATCTGCTCCCAGGGAACGACTTCTTGACTTAGAGTGTGCTGATGGTATTGCCCTCATCTGTGACAGCTCCCAGACGTGCCAAGCGGCACTGGACAGATTAGCACTGGCTGTCAGCCGCTTCGGGCTTTGCTTCGCACCCTCGAATTGCAAAGCGTTCCTCCAACAGCGGTCTGGATCACCTCCTACTCTGACCCTCGGTGGGGATCAGCTAGATGTCGATCAAAAATTCAACTACCTGAGAAGTTGTATCAGCGCCCGTGGGATTGAGGATGAGATCACGAACCGTATAGCAAAAGTTCGGGGCGCTTTTGCTAACCTTCGCCACTTATGGCGCCGGCGCGACATCACTCTTGCCCTGAAGGGTAGAGTGTACAATGCAGCGGTACGTTCGACCCTACTGTACAGTTGTGAAACCTTGCCCCTTAAACCAGAGGACGTTCGACCTTCGGTGCCTTCGCAATTTAGCTCACATCTATTGGGAACACGGAGTAAAAAACGAGCGTGTTCGACGCCTTGTTTACGGCACAGGAAAAGGAACTGAACCGCTCAGCACCGTTATTTCACGCATCAGACTCCGATGGCTCGGCTACGTGTTACGCATACCAGCCCACCGACTCCTGCGACCTGCGTTGTTTGCAGGCCGGGAATGTGGATGGAAGAAGAGGAGGGGTGGCCAAGCGATGACTTGGTCGAGGGGAATGTAGGTCCTCACTTTGAAGCTGGCCTCTGTTGGAGCGTCACGGCTCCCTGGTTGCGGTCCGAAAGACGATGAACACGTTTGGCTGGATATGCTTGCTGGTATGGCTAGGAGCGGACCTCAATGACATTCGTGCTGTGAGTTTCTTTGTCTCACCCCACGATCTCACTATTTAGCCTTATATAATTTTGCATTATAATTTTTTTGATGCACAGTAGCCGGCTGGTAGCTTATCGGAACAATACCCATCTGTTACCGGTAGCTCAGCCGGCTTGCACCAGTTACATTTTTTCCTCTTTTTTCTGTGTATTACGGCACAGTAGCTGAGGTGTTTCCCACCTGTACCTAACGTGTATAATGATGATGATGATGCATACCGATATGGTGACAATACTTCACTAAATGAGCATGTAAAATTTATTGGTTGCCAACAAATCCGCGATAGGTTCAATAGATCAGAAATATAGTTTTAGAAAATGCCACAAATGCGAAAATGTTATCGAAGTTTACTAGAATTAGCTTAAGCGACGTGTGCAACTTAATAGAAGATAGTCCATGTAGACATTACTATGAGATCCAAAGCATAAATATGGCTACTTTGCCACGTGATTGATGTTCGTGCATTTTTCTTTTTGGTTCTCGCCCTATGCCTCAGCATATCCTAGACTAGGTTCACTTTGCATCACAGGCAATGACGCTTCAACTAGCAACGTGACGCACGGCTAATGCACTTCTATGCTACTAGAACTTTTGTGTTCGACATACCCGTCAACTGTTTGTTTTCCTTTTCTTGTCTTTTGTATTGCGGCACAATAGCTGAGGTGTTTTCCACCTTCAGCTAACTTGTATAATGATGATGATGACCCGTCAACTGAGACTACATTGGGCTGATTATACTGTATGGCACTTTACACAATGCGCAATAAGGTTCTTTGTGTCCCACCTAAGGCAAATTCGACTGTGTTGGCGCAGTTAATCGCAGTGTAGATCGCACTCCTCATGCTCTTCCTCAAACGTGCATTATTACGACGGAACGCTGTCTTCAGACTGCCAACGTGGAGAATACTCACACTGAAGCAAACGACTGATCTATTCACTGCAAGTGAACTATCAGGTGCGTGGAGGCACATCTTCCTTATAAAACAAAATCCCCTTTTTTGGCCATTCTTTAACGAATGAACACGCCACCTGCTAGCGTAAAGTCGCTTTTGATCCGTTCATGTTTCTTGTTTTCTCTATTGACCGTAGGGTAGCCTGGTCATTATGTTACTTTGTTTCGATATCGATAAGTCAGGCATAACATCATACCTGAGTAGTGAGTGCATGTCAAGTCCTAGGAAGCGTGCAACATACATAAGCCACCTGCTTCAGATACAGCCGCAGTGGCTGAATTGACTAAAGTTCATTACAAAATGAATCACTGTATGCATGGAGATTGCGTCGCAGTCCTTTGAAACGGCATGCGCTTAAAATGACCCCCTTCAGTCAGTCATTAACCATTGTGACAAGTGTCACGCACCTTAACTCGCTGGCTTAGGGGTATAAGTTTCTGCTGAGATCCCAGAGGTTCCTGCTATCTCCATCTTGTGATGGCGGCACCGGTCATGTTTAGAGTGAGCAACACCAAATATTCACCTAGCCATCTTCCTTGCTTTCATTTGCCATGTACAGTCTAACTAATTTCCTTGTTTTGTGAGTCTGGTTTGGTTTAACCAATTGGTGTGTTTTATTTGATACCACAGATCCAGTTGTTCTGCTGCTTTTCTTAACGTGTTCCGCACCATGTTGGCCATAATGTAGCCACCAGCCAACTTTTTGATTCACTTTCGCTATCCACTATTTTTTGATTTAGAAGTCGAAGCGGGACAATAAGAAACAATCAATCACCCCTTCTGGGCCAGTTGCTAGCACTGATGACAAAGGTACGAGCAAACAGAAATCGCCTTCTAACCTGGGTGACGAGCTACTCAAGAATGGTGTCAGTGAGAAATTGCTCAAACAACTCACCAACGCAATGCTTGTCTCCGGCGCCGACAGTCTTGGAGCCTCAGGCGGTGATACAAAAAAGAAGACATGCAAAGCAGACTATAAATTTTGGCGAACTCAACCTGTGCCCGACTTAGGTGGGTATACAACATGGTTTTCTTTTATCGTCGTATGCTTATAACGTCTTGCTGAATCAGCCTCTCTTGCACCATTTCCCGCCATTTTTCCTGCGCCATCACATTTTCGTTCTTACAATGTCGGCTCCCTACTCCCGAAATTTCTAGTTGTGCCTGTTGAAGAGGGTTCTTTACAATAAACCTGCTCATTTCTCGTATAATCTAGCTTGAAGCTAATTAGTCACTAGTTTTCGTGCACTCCAACCATCTACGCTAGTTAGGTATTTCGTATACCTTTCAGATCCCTAGATCATTTTTTCTTTTCCCCTACCGTGTCCGAGCAGAATCTTATCGGATAAAGCTACTGAGATACCAGCCTCTAGATTGGGGACAGTGTGTATGCAATTTGATCGAGGGTCTTTGTCAAACTCGTCTTGTTCACTTCAAATCAAAGTAGGCTTGATGCACGAATCTAGGAACATATTAAGCAATTTACACTATCACTGCGAATGCAATAAGCAATAACATTTGCGTGAACTTACAATCAAAATGTTAAACATAATTAACTATGTGCACATATTACTGAAACGTGTGGCGTTGGAGTTACTTAGAGTCTGAAAGAAAACGTGATAAATACGGTAGGATGAAGTTATAATAAAATGTGCACGAAAACAACACTAAATGTAGAGCGAGTAAACGAACACAAGAGAGCTTTTGATTGATCATCGTGAAGGGGTGAAAAAGATCATTCGGAACCTGTCATGAAAAATTGCCGGCCCCTAGTCTAGAGGTAACGAGCTTGTCTTGTTATCTTGCGGCACAGGTTCGAACCTGCTTAGGAGCACGGCGACCCTCGCAGTATCCTTAGCCCACGTGCGACCGGTGGTGGTTGCGCGGCAGCGAAACGTCGGTATTGCGTACCGGCGTACTGCTGGTGGCTTTCTTAGTGAAAATTCGCCACCTGCACCAAAATGCTTTGTAACGATTAAGTCAACCAGAAACTCTGGGCAATCCACTGCGCTTAAAAATGTGCTTAATGGAACACACAATGTGAATTCATTTTATATAAAATCAGGAAAGTTAATAGGTGAGCAATATAGCCAATGCGGAATTATACGGGCAGTCAAATTTGTAAAGAGCAGGGAACTGAAAGCAATTTGTGTATCAGGACATAAAATGATAATTTTTGCACCTTGTGGAACTTTTCGTCTATGTGTGCTGACCATGATAATGGATGAACTGGGGTATGTAGTCACTCACCACCATTGGACGATAAGTGTTTGCCAAACTCGGACGTTTGTCAGTGCGGAGGAAAGAAAATTACATCGTGACATTTAGAAGCGTTAAGAATAAGCGATTGGGATGATGATCACAGCCCTCATCTGTGACAGCTCCCAGACGTGCCAAGCCGCGCTGGACAGGTTAGCACTGGCTGTCAGCCGCTTCGGGCTTTGCTTTGCACCATCGAAATGCAAAGCCTTCCTCCAAGATTGGCAGGGATCGCCTCCGTCGCTGACCCTTGGTGGGGATCAGCTAGAAGTCGTTCGGAAATTCAACTACCTAAGAAGTTGTATCAGCGCCCTTGAGATCGAAGACGATATCACGAACCTTATAGCAAAAGCTCGAAGTGCTTTTGCTAACCTTCATCACCTATGGCAGCGGCGCGACATGACTCACGCTCTGAAGGGTAGAGTGTACAATGCAGCGGTACGCTCGACCTCACTGTACGGTTGCGAAACCTGGCTCCTAACATCGGCGGACATGAAGAGGCTAGTTACGCTCGACCATCGGTGCCTTCGCAGTTTGGCTGACATCTGGTGGGAACACCGTGTGAGTAACGAGCGTGTTCGACGCCTTGTTAATGGCACAGAAAAAGGAAGTGAACCGCTCAGCACCGTTATTTCCCGCACCAGGCTCCGATGGCTGGGCCACGTGTTGCGCATGCCAGCCCACCAACTTCCACGACGTGCGTTTGCTCACCGTGGATGTGGATGTAAGAAGAGGAGGGTTGGCCAAGCGATGACTTGGTCGAGAGGAATGAAGGCCCTCGCTTCTGATCTGGCCTCGGTTGGAGCGTCACGGCTCCCTGATTGGGGTCCGAAAGACGGTGAACACCTTTGGTTGGATACACTTGTTGACATGGCAAGGAGCCGACCTCAGTGGCTTTTCTGCTGTGATTTTCTTTTTCCCTCCCCATCCCTTTTAGCCTCTCCTCCACCTACGATCTCATTTCGTAGCGTAAAACATAATAATTTTTCTTTTTTTTCTAGTTGCGGGCTGGTAGCTTACCGGAACGATGCCTATCCGTTGGTGGTAGCTCAACTGGCATGCAGCTTTTGTATTTATTTTCGTTTTTCATTTATGTATTGCGGCACAGTAGCTGAGGTGTTTCCCACCTCTAGCTGACGTGTATAATGATTATGATGATGATGACCACAGCTGCAGCTCATCCAACCCGCTTTGGAGATCCGTTGATGATTCAGCAGTCGGAGCAGCGCTACCTAGAACCACGTCGTCAGTGTATCTACGCCTATTAAGCTTGGGAGGAATTAGAAACAGTTTAATGTATAAAGGGAATTGAAATATGAAGATTGCTCTTTGTAAAACGCTCCAGTCATCACGAAGGGTAAGGGATCTTTTATTTGGATGAAGTGAGAGCGATTTACATAATAATTGCTCATCCGGTTGCACGCTGATGGTTGAGCACCATTCGCAGAGAGCAGGTGAAGCACGATTGATCTATCGATTTTTCCAAAAACCTTGGAGAAACTAAGGAAGAGCAGCCGCGCGATCTTGCGTTTCGCATCCAACGCATATGCTATCGAGTGAACAAGGTATGCTGCGGCATCCAACGTGAAACTTCGGTGTCTGTACACAACCTGAGATACGTCCACAGCCTGAGTGCTTGTTGACATCCAAGGCACAATTCGTTCGATGACTTGCAGCATGATGGAGGTACAGACGATCGGATGAAATATCATGGATTCGTTCTCCATTCTCCTCTAAAGCACCCAGATGAGAATAATTCCACCTTGTAGGTACCGATTATAAAGGTCTGTTAAGGTCATAGTGCAGATATCGGCACACTATGTGGGTTTTGCACTGCTCTCCGAACTGAATGATTATTTTGCAGACGTTTCGCTGCCAGACTAAGCAACATCATCAGTGTGGATTTAAGGCCCTGTTTCGCAGAACCTCGTAAGCAACTTCCAGATCTAAGTGCTTATTGATCGAGTTCTGCTTTGAATACCAGGATTCAATAAACCCATGTGCTTGCCGGCTTGTGTCTCTTGAGCATTTTGACGTGCTCCAAATCGAATTGGTGGCCTCCGGCATCCTATGCACTGAAATCAGACTTCTTACCGTGACGACGAATGGCTAGGTTATGTCCATGTAGCCGTGTGCCAAGCTCTCTTCCTGTTTATCCTACGTACTGTTTGTCACAGTCTACTATTTCAGATCGGCACACTGTATCAAGGCACACTTGACATCCCCATTGGCTCTTGGAACAACTTCTCATGTACCAGTGTCATAAAACGACCGATCTCTAACTATTCATTCTCCGTGTCTCTCTTTTATATGATGACACCTACCGATCGTTTTTTCTAGTCTAACCTTAGCTGATAGTTCGCCGTCGTGTCGCTTATCCAGCCAGTGTAAACCATGGTAAACTTCGCCTATCCTAACAGGTGGCGCAGCTTTCTCGTGTATTATTTGCTCTTTAACTTGATTCAACTACCTAGAAGGTCGAATTGATCGATCGAATTGACAGGTTGTTCATCGATTCTGCGAATCAATAGCCCACCGGTTCGCTCTTACTCCAGTTCCTTGCTCCTTAATTTTACGAGATGCATGTTGTGCAACTTCCGGCAAATCATTGTTTGTTTCCGTCGTAGTTTACGACGTCAATTCGACAGTTTGTTTACCCCACGATGCAGCACCCCCTGGTAGCCCTCTGAATTATTTAGTCTCAGCTCTTCATCTTTTTTCTTTCATTTGATACCGCTTGCTTGTGACTTCTGCTGATGCCTCGCAATTGGCTTGTAGTTTTGCGAGCCGCATGATTCTTTAGCTTTCATTGCCGCTGGCGCCCAGCCAATTACGATTCAGTTCAGTTCAGTCCAACTAAGGCTCGTCTACCGAAGTACGGTGCGTCAAGTTACCTTGACTGACATCGCCGAATAGACAATAAGAATAAGAATAATAACGAAATGGGCATGTAGTCAGGGGCCGTGAGTAAGGGGATGAACAACACCGACCCCATTGTTTTACTGCATCCCTAATCGAATCTAGCCACTAACGTGGCTTGTCTGGAGGTCCAATCAAAGATGGCGACCAACACGAACTTGTCTCAGCTTGCGTGTGTTTCGTGTTGGAGGAGTTCGGTGTTGCTCTCCTTCATCACTACACTTGACGACGCGTTTCGTCCTTGTTTAAACTAATCAGGTAGATATAGCCTGATCTGGGAGTGGAACTCCGCACATAGGGTTTGATAGATATAGCCGTGATCGCTATACCATAGAGCTCCGCGAACAGTGCTTCACACAGCTGTTAGGAGTTGGTTGTCGTGTCTTGGAGCACCCACCGCGTGTCATGGATTTTCGACATGCAATCTTACTTGTGGCCTCGGTTAAGTTTGATGTCAGCGTCTGCCATGATGCGAGAGAGCAACACCGAAACCCTCCACACTTCGGATACGGTCCCAGTGATCGGAACGGCATCGACTGACTTCAAAGTCAACCGAGGTCACAACTTAGATGGCACATGGCAATCCCATCCGATGGGCACTGAATTTCAGTGTGTCCGTAACTCCATGAAGCGACGTCTGATGAGTAGTCTTCGAATCTACCGGGAACGTTGGTGTATAGTAAATGCCCGTGAAATGAAGAAGACCAGTGCTATTGGGAACAGCTGCGTGCTATTCCATCTCATCCGGAACTCGGGTCCGAGAAAGCCATCAGTTAGTAAGACAATACCTGAGCAAGACGGACAGTTGATTCATTCTCAGCGTCTCCGACTAGGTTGTTGGACGGAACATTCTGAACAGCAGGCCTGCTGCGACACTGCTGCTTCCTGGGTCGCCTGAGCCGACGTGAGAAGTGGATATCACACCCACTTTGGAAGAGATTCGACGTGATCTTTCCGTGTTGAAACGAAACAAATCTTCTGAAACCGACGACCTTCATCTTTACTAGAAGGTGGTGGTAGCGCTTTGATTGGACTCGGTTCCCTTTTTAGCACTATTTAGAAAACTGAACAGGTGCATTCAGACTGGCGACTGTCAACTGTCGTGCCTATCTCCAAGAAGAACCAGCGTATTTTGTGCGAAAACCACTGAGGCATTAACTGTGTTTCCGTTGCATCCATACTTCTTGTGAGTATCATTCTTCGACGACTTTCCGGTCCCCGTGAGAACCTAATCACTGAAAGTCAGGTTGGCTTCCACCGTGGTTGTGGTCATATCGACCACATGTTTACTGTTCGCCAATTTTTACAACTGAAACACATACAGATGACCGACTATGGTGGTTTTTCTTCACCTGAAAGTCGCCTTCGACTCTGTTGACACTGCCAGCTTATAACGTTGTCTATCCATTAAGGGCCTGTCGGCTAAATTTCTTTCCATTATGCTGTCTCTACCGTGACTCCCGAGGCCGTGTAAGGGTCTAGGGGAAACTGGCTCCTGAGTTCCCCACGACAAGTGGGGTTTGCCAGGGTTGTCCTACATGTCTCCTCCACTTCTGCTTTGTGCTAGAAATAACTCGGTTCTCTCAGACTATTCTGGAGTGTTTCTGCCAGATGACCGACTGACAAGCCTGAAGTATGCGGACGACATAGTTCTCCTTGGGTTTGACGCAGTGGCTATGCAAACACTACTGGACAGGCTGACGCGTAGCGCCGCATGCCTCGCATGTGCTTTGCACCTTCAAAGTGCAAGTCCTGTTGCAGGATGGAACCGACACACCTCCGATTCAAGCTATCACTAAACAACTACTGGAAGTGTTGGATCGGTTCACTTATCTTGGTATCTCTGTCACCTCTGGTGGTCACGTAACTGAATAGGTTACTTTGCGTATCAGCGAGACCCGTGTGGCTTTCCAGAGGCTCAAACATCTATCAAGGCGGCGGGATACCAATTTGTCATTGTAGAGTATGGTGTATAACGCTGCAGCAAAACCAATGTTACTGGATAGATCAAAGACCTAGCTACTTCACCGCGAAGACATTAAAGGCTTGGCCGTGTTTGACCACCAGTGCTTGCAAAGTATTGCTCACATCTGATGGGAACACCGGTCCGCCAGTTGGTTTGTGGCTAGAAACCTTCTGGTGCCTCACTCGAGATTTTTACTAAATCTTAGTCGCTTGCGTTGGCTAAGCTAAATCCTCCGTATGTCGATTGACCGGCTTCCTCGGCGTGCATTATACGCCGTAGCCGCACCATGTTGGACGAAACCGCGAGGTGGCCCGTCCATGACGTGGCATGACAAAAGTTGACCGATATACTTGGTCAGGTTAGTGCGTGTCATCTTCATAAGTAGGGTCCTCGGGGTAATGTAATGTAATGTTATCTCAACAGCCCAGCAGCTAGACATGGAGTCAACCCTCGGGGTGATCCACACCAATGGTTGGACATCGCGCAGTCAGTGACGTTCGTGCATTCGTTTGCATCTAATCAATACTTTTCGTTCCATTCTGACTAACGCACTTCCTTCTTGCTTCCGTTTTCTTTACATTCCACTTACCTTTAACCCCACTATCTTGCGGTTGTCATTAATTGCTGTTATTGCGATGTGAGTCGTGACAACAGGATCCACTGCACTTCGGTGCTCAGTTCCTAGTTGTTCAACTGAACTGAACTGATTGGTGAATATCACACATGGAGGCACGCAGAGCATTTTTCCGGGCCACCGGAGACGATTCGCACTCAAAAGTCACTTTAATGGCTCATTAGGAGGCATGATGCTTTAATCCGGATGACGAACTTCAGTGTCACTCATTCGGTTATCCTATCGAACATGAGTAACACTGCGCAGGTATGGGTGGTCGAACATGGGCAACCCTTTAATTTCTTCATTGTCCAGAAACAAGAAGAATGCCATATCTCTCTGATCCATACAGCCACACTGTCTACATTGCATTTTTTGACAAATTCTCATCTGTAAACCTCCGGTATTCTCGACGCACGTAGTCAGTCGTCTATGTGTATAGACGTAAACAATCTACTTGTGCGGAAGTGTTCTTCAGTCGCGTTTTCTATCCGATTTGCTTACTTCGCTACAGTTTCTCTGGTCTATCTGTTCTGTGCTGTCGGCTCGATGTGCTTCACACTGCGATTCTACCGGCAGGCGATGCGTATCCAGAACCTACTGTGACCGACTATCACCCTTCTGTTATCAATCTCATGTCTGTGGCAGCTAACACGTGCATTTTGCATACAAAGCATTCACTTGTTTCACGTTTATCTGGCTCTGTCCTTGGCATATCAATATGCCTACTGTCTGAATTGTTATATCCAATTCCTCGGCCTTCTTCCCATGTACAGACGAGAAAATAGAAGACAACTGTGAGATCGAACCGGATAAAGCACTGGATCAGATTCGTACGGAACCTTACAGTCTCCCAGATGGATTTGTATGGTCTGAAATCTCCCTTGTGGATGATGCTCAAGTAAGTTACACGATCTCCTACCTCGTATTTAACCACTAACGCAACTTCTACATGTTACTATCTCAGTCAACCAATCAATCACGTTGTTAACAACACGGGAGGTGGGAAGAAAGACAACAGCTAGCGGAAGACACGTTCGAGGTGGTTATTCGTGTGCACGGTATTTTGGATAACTGAGAGAGAGAGCGCTTCGGAGTTCAGAGTAGGATTATGGGTGTGTTAAACTAACGGGAATGAACATTTGTTGTGAGTGAGCACAAACTTCGGCAGCATGAAACAATTCATTTGCGTTCGATCCTCTTAACAATACACTTCTACTTTATATTGTCCATACCGTAGTTCTTTCTGTCACGGACCACAACATAGAATTTTACATGGCTTCTCACTTATTGTATACCTGTTCTACAGAACCCTATCTCGTTCGTAAATCGAGTGCTTACACGAACTACTTGTTAGCGATTGGATGTTTCGTCCCCTCCTCTTTTGTTCAGCACCTTCACATACTGGACCAGTATTACCTCCCATTCTTGTCATCCGGCATTTTAAGTTGTCCCGCATGTTCAGTACCTCAAGAGACTTCTACCTGAGTTGACCCACTATTTGTAGTTTGCTTGTCGGTATTCCAAACCTTCAGAAATTTCTCGTCAGCTCTTTCCCCTACCCCCCAAGTGTTAACTTCCTCTCCTCTTCTTGCTCATCTTTTCTACCGAGTCACAATCTGTTACAAAGTGGACTAGTCGAGCAATTGTCGCCCCTTTTCAGTTAAGTAGGTAAAGTGTATCAGCAGCATATCAGTACAACGCACTGCCGGGGGCAAAATCGGACTCATTGTTGACGTTATCAGTGCCCGGTAATAAGTGTCAGAACTTACTTGACTCAAACCACTACGCGAATGTTTCCAGTGCAATCTCTTACAACTACGACAAAACCAGTTTGCAGCAAACCAAGTTTTTCTCTAGATGCCCATGCGTATATCTACGCCTCAATCTTGTTGCCGAATAGAGTAAGTGTGTCTGATACGGTCTGTTCCTGAGGCTGAGAATAATCCAGAGTATCATTGTCACGCGACGGCTGTTATGAAAGTAAGGGACCAATCGTAATGTTATGTAATTGGTCCTCGTGGTCTGCGCACGTGTGCAGTTGTAGGTGGGGATCGGGCGTGGCATACTGTAAGACATTAAACATTTTCATTTACTGAACGAATACAAGGCCAGTTAATAGCACGGGTGCACGTCATTGGCTCCATTCAAGAAACACGTGTATCCTCCAATGTTTTGTCCAATTTCACCCCGCTTTATTCATCTCGTCTCAGCTACATCCACCATCTGCGTGCCGTGGTAATGGGGTATGACTTGCTTTTAATGCTACCATTACTACTGAAGCATTATTCCCTACTACTCACGCAGATCCGTTCTTTCCTCACCTCTTTTTCAGCCTTCACACCCTTGGCGAATATTTTTTTCATTCATCATTTCCACTCATTTGATGTTGGTACCTGCGCTTTAGGCTGTATAAACAACAGTAACGGCATTGTCTCAACCCTGTGTACTATTGCTTTGCCGTTCTACAGCAACAAACGCCGGATGTGTGCTTTCGGCTCATTCTTCACTTCAATTCATCTGATTTACTGTTGTCCGCGTACCGAGATACACTTGCTCCTGACACCCTCGCTTACATAGCCGTTATTATTATTATTATTTACACCCGTCACTAGCCCGTTTGCGTATCCGCCAGGCTTCGTGATTTTTTATACTGACCTGTACTCTTTACTATACCATTTTGCGACAATAACACTAATTATCCTCTAGACTTTTCGTTACTGTCCCGCTTTCATTGGAACCCCCAATCTCACCAACAACCATCTCACACCCGCTTGTCCCTACCGAATTTCTGAACTTTCTTAGTCATGTGGGACTACGCCTGGTAATGTCCAGTTTTGGTACTTCATCTTACGACTGTTCCGGTCCGAAACCACTATCAAAAGGTGGTGGTTTATTAGTATATGAATGTGTTTTACCTGAGATTCAATCGGCCCTCCGTTTACGTCATTCGCTTACCTACAACTTCGCAACTGTTTACAGTATATAGCTTTATCTTTCTGTGTCTCATTTTTCTTCTGAATTGCCGCACTTTAACGATGAATCTCACCTGACATTTCATTTCAGCTACAAGAACTTTACGAATTGTTGTATGAGAATTATGTGGAAGATGATGAACACTTATTCCGATTTGATTACTCTAAACCTTTTCTAAAATGGTAAGTTTTTCCAAATTCTATTCATCATGACAATATCTTGCCATCTTTTACTATTTCTCTCATGTGTGCAGTTCATTAACCTCGTCTCTGTTCTCCTTGCTGATCAGCGTCTGTGACCGTTGCACGTGACACTTTCTCCCATCACCGCTTGAACAACATGCATTAGTATTAAACTCAGTTTTAAAAATTGCCTATTTTGTCCGTGTCTTATGCAATCACAGCATCTCCATCTAGCTTCATACCCTTACATTGTGTTCCCTGCTCACCGTGTCTCCGTTTTGAATACCTGTCGCATACGCACACATAGTCTTTTCCACTTTGAAGGTCTTAGGTGTGTTTACCGTACGGATGCCTCGAGTGGGTTAAGTAAGCGTTTCTGACAGTTCCTAGGAACTGTTTTGCCTGATCTTGTGGTACGGATTCATAGTGCTTTTGATAAATCAGCGTCTTATGTGCTCACTGGTAGTTCCCTTAATTCCAACCGTGGTAACAAATATTTTCATTATCCTCCATGACGAGACTTAACTATGCGCTACAGTTCGTCTGCCCCTTCAACCCATTAATCTATACTAAGTGGTTCTCTCGGGCTGCTTGAAAGTTATCCCTGTCAGATTGGTCAGTGGTTAAAGATCAGTATGGTGACTCCTGGGTTTGCATGTTGGAATCGGGGTGACACTCCTCTTTGCCAAGACAGGTTCACTACCATGATGTAGCCTTGTGATCATGCTTTTGAGTCAAGGGCAGTATCCCAGTCCACCCACCACAGGACATGGCTCGCAACCGACACCAGTGTCGTACCTCCTGCCGTCTCCTAGTCGGCTTGCCTGTTTAAAGTATGTTTGATACTGAGTTATCTGCGGGGTACTGGCTGATAATGACGCGTGGCGGTGAAAACCGCAAGGAAGCTGACTCGCCGATGCCTCCTTATCTTTGCACGATAGCCAGCTGTTTGTGACAGTATGTTGTCTACACAAGGTGTAAGCGCCTTGCTCCTGAATGTTTGCTAAGGGCATTAAGGTTTTTAGATTAGTCCCCTTTCTCTCCCTCTTATTATTCTTTATTCCATCATCATGGTTGTATGGCAGCGAAGCATCAGTTCAAATGGCTGATGTACTGCTGTTGTTGGTGATGATTTGACCACAATGGATCTATTGTGGTTCTTCATCCGCCTCCAGCATCGACCATCTCGCGGTTTCCACAGGGTCGCCTTACTTGTTGCATACAACAAGGTGAATAAATGAACACCTACTACCGTTGGCGCCTCTTTTTTCTTAATCGCCTACTTCTACACTTCTTCCGACTTCCATTACTTAACTCCTATATTCCTCAGAGTAAGTGACGGCAGTTGCAGTACTTCTTGCGTACCGCCACCTGCAGCTATCTTCCCGCAGCATTCACTAAACTCCTGTTACTAACATTCCATGTTTCCTTGATGACGTTCCACCATCGTACCCGAAGATAAATAGATAAACAAGCTATAGTTAAACGCACCCTAAATGTCTACGTGTACTGCGTGTCCGAAACTAGGCTCATCGACACTCATACATTTGTTGTACCAACTGCACCCAACCTTCCTCCTCGCTATTGCTTGTCTGTGGACGCGGATGCATCAGTCGCAGGTCATGCCGGATTGAGCATCTTTCTCTACTCTAGAACTGGGTCATCGTCAGTCGATGGCCGAGTGGTCTGCACACCTGGCTTGCAATCATAAGGTCGCCGGTTCGAATCCGCGTAGGAGCGGGCATCTTAGCGGTATACTCAGCCCACGCGCGACTGGTGGTGGTCGCGCGGCAGCGAAGCACCGTTACAGCATACACCTGACGATTTAACTCTTGCGTGCAGACTGCTTGACGACATCAACTGAGATAACACAAGGAGCAACGCTAAGCATTGTTTGTTCGTAATTGCAGCCAGCTGTAGTCCTGAGCTGTCAAATACGCCCTCTTCTACGACGGTAACGTGCCGCTGCACAATTTCATCGGTTCAGCTATCACCCTGGTTACAGCGATATGAGTACATAAATGAGTCATCCAAACTCCCCGGGAGCTCAGCTAGGTTGGAAGTTTGTGCTAAATTCTGAACCCATTACTATTGGCGAGCGCTTTGTACAGTCCTTTACCGACTATCTCTTAAGTTCCCTACCCGCGGATGAGTTGAGCGCCAAAGTCCTACTTGGCGCTCTCTGGTAACTGGCCAAAAGGGTCCAAAAGAGCTTTGTCGCCATTAGTTTCAGACAGCATGGTTTGCTCCTGGACTGCCGCCCTTTCTGGGACACATGCGTCGATTCTGATCATGCTTCACTGCGCTACCGGCTTTTCACAAACCGCGCACTTTACTTGGCAACTGAGAAGTGTCGTGAATCCTTCCCTGAGTCAACACCAAATCTGGGTTGCGATCAAGATGGTGTAAAGCGTTGCCTTATTTATTATGTACAAACGGTGGTTTTATACAGTATTACCTCCCTCTTCTACCACACAAACCCATTGAACTTTGACGTCTAAAGAAGATAAAGGCGGAAATTTTAGAATACCATGAAAGCGTGCCCAACACTCCCAGACAGTTTTAGTATTGCCTTTCTCCACATCCACGCCGATTCAGTTAGCCCATTACAGTCAGCTGAAGCAAAATCCCCTCGCCAGCACAAGTGGGCAATATCGTTTTCACTGCTTATTTCTCATTATCGCACTTTGTGCTCTCTGTCTATATTTAGTAGTCCTCACGCGCTGTTCACCTGCCGCGCTCGGTTCCGCCCACCTCGTTTCTGTTTAGTGTCACTTTGAATGACTCGTACCAACCCGCGCTAATTCTCGACCCTACGTCTGGCTCGTGTGCTTATGAATAGCTTGCGTGGGTGACATTTGCTCAACTTTCCGTTCACTATTTACGATCTGACTTTGTTCGCTCGGTTGACCCCTTGTCACCAGTCCAGGTCTCTTGGCGCGCCTGTGCTGTTCGGGTACTTTGCATCCCATTGCCTGTAACCAAACTATGCTTCTTCCGAGCTAGGTCGAACCAATTTTGTATTGTCCCTCTTGCCTGTACGATCGTGGTCAGCTTGTGTGGGGTACACTTATTTGACGAAATCTGCTTCACGTTTATCCAAGCGACCAACTACGATCACAAGCTTTCTTTTGATCAGTCTTCTAGGTTACCAGGTGTAATAAGATTTTACTCAACTGCTCTGAGCAAGCTTCATTTGAATGGCATTTTCGCTGTGACACACGACACGGGTACTTCTGCTCTATGATTTACCGCCTTCATTCATATCGGATTTACTGTGTAAAGTTTCCTCCCACATCGCTGGATCCACACCTATTCGTCCTGGTTCGGTGGAATCTATTGCAATCAATCTCGACGGCATTACTCAGACAGCTTGTTTTTACTAGGATTTATCACTTTGGGAGTTTGTTCACCATTGCACACGCACACAATTTTGCGCTAATTTAAACGCCCACCTCGCAGTTTGGCCTCATTCGATAAACTCGTCGCTCAGCTTTCCGACAAGCTCTCACCCATCCCATTCCAGCGCCGCGTGTACCAGCTGTAGGGCAGATTAACTTTCCATTGTGAACCAATCCCATTCAGTCCAACATCAGCTCTCGCTTCTCTGCATTTCAGTTCGTGCTATCAGTCAACCTGTCATGCACAAACCGCATATACTAACTGCCCTGTCCGCTATCATATGATGTATAACCACAAGGCGCTGTGCGTAAGGCCCAGTCCTCTTACCTTGGCCTGAATGGCCACTGACGGTCAGTATCAAACGGCGAGTCACTCTCAGCTCACAAACCAGCCAGCAGTTATTCGAACACAATACCCACAGCAACTGTGCAACCGAAACTTGCAAAAAGACAGGGACAATGGGACTGGCACGTTCTCACCGTTTCAGTCCTTACCATCCAAACTGCATCAGATCGTCTTTAAACCAAAAGAAGCAGTATAGCTGTTTGCTGGGCTTGCTTTGGCTCTGTTCTAAGTGTAGGTTTGTTCCCGTAGCATAGTGTGCACTGGAATTAACACAAAAGTACTACAGTAAATCGCTGAAACCGAAGTTCATTTGAATGCTAAATTACTTCGCTGGAGTCGCCATCGGCTGGGCTTGCACTTCATCCATCTCCCCCAATCACTACCACGAAACCAAGGAAAAGAGCCAAGCGTTCCCACGCCATCACAGTGACAGAAACCGTATAAACTTCAAATTGACCAGCCATCGCGAACGATCGAAGTATGCCGGGTTCCACCGCCACTATCCTCTTGTCCATTGTATCGGCTGATGCAACCTCGGTAGCGCCTACACTTCCAATTGGCCAACAGAAACCAAATCTTTTCACTTATGCAACAGTTATCGCTCGATGTATTCAAACTTTGACTCCAATAGCTTCAGCAGCTCTAGCCAAAATATGTATCAAAGACCAGATTCAACTGCAGGGACCTCGCCAAAGCTACCCACAACCGCGTCCCCCATATAACCGAAAACAAGGCGGAACCATGGTGCTTTAACAGTCATCTGCACCAACGTCCCTTAGTCCATGGCAAGTTCCTTAATAGGCAAACAATGGGGAGATCTGAACGGGTAGAATAGTGTTTGTGATCGGGTCGCTGTTCGGGTTATGCCCACTAACTGAATGCGCATCACCAAACATCCAAACTCGATGCATTACTGCTAGTTCCGTTTAATGCGAGTAACATTGGGATCCACAGATGTTGTCGAGACGTTTCCCTTGTCGGCACACCGCATGCGGACTGAAGACAGTGGGATACGCATATCCCCCGATGTCCCATGGATCAAACGCCAGCGAAACAGAAATACTTCCAACGACTACTACACCGAGAAAATCAAAAGCGTCATTTTCGTTCATGGCTTGCCGATGTTCCTAAGTCCCAGACACGGAAACAGTGGAATTTCATTTGTGAACTGAGCGAAGTACTGGCCAGGCCGACTAATGTAATACCTATCACTAGATATCCAAACTCGATACGCTACACCGAATCCCGGCTAA